CATAACATAACATAACATAACATAACATAACATAACATAACATAACAACATAACATTACATTACATTACATTACATTACATTACATTACATTACATTACATCACATCATAACATAACAATATTGTCAGAGTGTTTACAGCGGGACTACTATTGTGAGACAACCCAGGAGCAAAACACAGGACATAGAAGCTTTGTCGTTTAACAGTGGTTTATATACAAGACTGCTATATACATACATAAATGCTCTAGGCAAATACTAGGCAATCACACAGAGAACTATAATGGAGATAGAACACAAGGAGAGAGAGAGATAGCCTCACATGGCCTCCCTTATATAGACAGCTTCTTAAAGTGGCAGTACTCTGCTGATTCATCATCATCTTGGCTTACAGCAGCTGATCAGCTATTAAATCTTCATTACCTTAACAAATATAATTGTGGTTAGGACAGACATCCCCTCTGTTTTCAATAGAAAACAAACAGCAGCCATATTTGATGGTTCCATAGAGCAGGCATACAGATTTACAGAGTAACAGAGCTGAAAGGGACCTGGGAAGGTTTTCGGCTCAAGCAGGAGATGCTATATCAATCCGGACAAATGACTGTCCAGTCTCTTCTTTAAAATGTCCGGTGATGGAGCACCCACAATGTCTGAAGGCAATTCGTTCCTCTGGTTAATCGTTCTCACTGTCAGAAGATTTCTCCTTAGTTCTAGGTTGGATCTCTATTTAATGATTTTTCCATCCGTTACTTCTTGTCTTGGCCTCAGGTGCTTTGGAGAATAAGTCGGCTCTAATAGGTCTCCATAAGAGCCCTTCAAACATTGGAAGGCTGCTATCATGTCATCCCCAGTCCTTCTCTTTGTTTGACTAGACATATCCAACTCTTGCAACCGTTCGTCATATGTGTTAGGGATATACACCCTAGCAGAACCTGCAGGGCAGTCAGGCAGGCAGGCAAATATGTGAGATAAACGTTGTTGTAGTTTACACTCAGTAAAACAGATACACAGTGCTAGTTAAATAGTTTATTCCAGTAAGATTTATATGCATAGTCAAACAGTCCATATATCATACACTAAGTTCAGTCCGTCCGGGGATTAATCAGTTGCAAAGTCCAGTGTCGAAAAAGAGGTCATTAAACTTACTAATATAAGTCCAGTAATTTATCTCTTCGCAGTAGAGATAAGAAGAAGTAAAAACCTCCTTTCTTCCTTCAGCAACAGCAAATAACACGCAGTTAACAATCCATCATCGTCAGCGAGGAATCCAGTAAACCAGCAAACAGTGAGCTCTCTTGCTCCCTCTTATGGTGATTTTACAACCGCACCCAAAATACATGGTCTGCAGTTAAAGTGATACACACACTTAAACTCACTAACATAGTTTATATATATTATTTTACCCAAACTAAGTTAGGTAACCATGTTATTCCTAACAATATGTTTTAGCCTCCAGAGCCCTAAAAATTATCTTTGTTGCTCTTCTCTGCACTCTCTGTCTCACAGCACTGCTGTTGAGCCAGGTACCACCTATTTTACATTTGCGCATTCGGTTTTTCTTGACCAAGTGTCAAATGTTACATTTATACTTAACCTTGCCCTCACTAAGTATATCCTGCAAATGGATCTGATCTTTGTGTGCTTTTGATTCCTAGATCACGTTGATCCTTCAGTATTTTATGGAGTGACAAGAATATTTTTTTCTGGGTAAGTACAGCTATATTCCTTTGGCTTTAAAAGTATTTTCCAAGCAGAACCACAGAGAGGAGCAACTTGTTGATATTGAGAAGACCCACAATACCAACTGAATTGGGGGCTTTCCTTGTTCTCCAAGAATTGACCCGATTAGACGTGGCAAACAAGGGTTCCTTCTACCATTTTCCTTAGGGATGTGCTATTCCTTTTCACAATTTTCAGAGCATTTATTCCCAAGTGATACATGTGGCTACAAAGCTCTTCCATCTGTTTGGGAGGGGTATCTCGGGACTCAACTAACTTCCTTCCTCCCTCCCTCCCTCTTTCCCCCTCCCTCTCTCTCTCCTTCCTTCTTTCCTATCTGTTTGGAAGGAATTTCTCAGGATTAAATGTCCGTCCTTCCTTCCTTCCTTTCCCCCCTTCCTCTCTCCTTCCTTCCTTCCTTCCTTCCTTCCTTCCTTCCTTCCTTCCTTCCTTCCTTCCTTC